TTAAATTTTATTTCTGTCATCTGAATGTCCCGTGAGTTATCATGGAATTGCCCTATACTATTTCTACAAGAATCATTGATGAGAAATTAAAAAAAAAAATTTCCTCGTTTTACCGGATAAAAACGAAAAAAAAATTGCGTGTTATTTAAATGGGAAAATAAAAATTCATTGAGCTTAGTGGAGAATTGAGATATTAAGCTGCGCTTTGGAGGGAATTTTTTTATACCTAAAAGAAGCTTTTGAGATGATAAGCAAAAAAAATTTTTTTTTGGACCACTCTAGTATGTATACATACTATAGTAACATTATTAAATAAATCAAATTAGTATTTAATGCAATAACATTCTAACATAAAATGAAAATAAATATCAATATAAATATCAATAGATTTATGAGCGATAACTTTTGTTGTTAATTTAAAAACAGTAAACGATTATAAACCAAGTGCTAACTACCTATTGATATTATAGGAACTGTTATTCAGGAATACGGATTACAAGATACCATTGGTTTAATTGCTCACCCATTCATGCTATTCTAGCGTTTTTTCTGTGCAATAATAACAGATTTCTGGTAATTTGTTATAAACACTCTGGACAGTTGATACGAACAAGTCACGAATTAAAAAAGTAAGCACAATCATCCGTTGGAGACGCTGAAATCAGTTGGTGCGCATTGTCAGTGGGAAATTTTTTGATTGACTGCCTGAAATCACGTGTACTTTTTCAACGAAATAATTTGTTAAAAATTAACAAAATAATCTGTTACCTTTGAAATTAAAAAAATGCTTACAAAGCTTTCGATAAAATATTTTCTTTTATTTAAATAATTACACACCCCGGTTTTCTACATAAAATTATGTTAAAATTTTACAAAATAAAATGAACAAACTACAAACTCATATTAACAACTCTGATTTTTCGCCCCTTCTCAGTTTTTGTCCAAAAAAATTTAACTTCTAATTTAAATGAAGAAGAAAAATAAAATGACAACAATTTTATAAATTGCATTTGCATTTTTTCCCTTTAAACAAACATTTGAAAACCCTTTATAAATATACTTATTTTCATGAAAACCTTCCAACTTTGGATTCTTTATCCTGTCCTAGTAGGTACAAAAGACTTAACTATGAATAGATAAATTTGTTAAATAAAATATAAAAATAGCGCAATTTTATCTGTATGCAGTTCATGTTTTACGTAAATGTTCTATCTTGCGAACAGCTTTTTCCTTCAACTGATTGAGTTTTATCATCTTATTTTAAAAATCGGATTTGTTACTGCCTTCTACGCTATAAAGCTGATTTTAATACCATGTATAGGAAATACGACATGGAATAGGTTTACAATTACTCGTTTATAGTTTTATTTTATTTACGACACCTACATAAAGGAAAAGGTCAAAATAGCGTTTTATGACGTGTTAAAATAGGTAAAATGTCGAATAGGCTTAAAAATAACGGACTAGTCGTAAATAAATATGGCATGTTTTTACTTAAAAAACATAAAAATATACACACCTATAATAATAATAATACCAATAATTGGGGTGCTAGGTTTTAAATATTTTTTGCACAAGTTGTTTTTTATTCTTTGATACTTATTCAAATAAAGAGTACAATAATTTTTTTTTTGGATCAGATAATATTTAATGGTCTCCCATAATTAAATGTATATACATATATAAAATACATAAACTAAAACCCTAAAATAAAAAACTGCGAAATAAGAATAAAAAGCATTTGTTCTTCGTCCCTGTAAGTTACTGGTTGTAAATAAGACTGATTCTTCGTTCGGCAGAATCATTAACAACTCAATTCCAAAAATTCAGATGGCTAATTCTTAGGAGGTACTTTCAGTAATTCTTCACTTTTGTAATTTTCTTCAATAATAAGGAGATCAAAGAAAAATCTGGTTCTTTCAGTTACAAAATTTTCTAGTAGTTTAATTATTGTTTGCAATAAACTATCTGACTTGACAAAAGTCCCTAATTTTTAAAAACACTTTAAATAAATTCTTGAAAATATTCTAGGTTGTAGTAGAGCCTACTTAAAAGACATTTAAAAAGTTTTAGAAAGATTGACCCTCTGGTTTCAGAGTAAAAAAAAATATTAAAGTTGCTAAGACTGTGTTAACAAAAATTTATATGCCAATTCTACAGGTATAAGTGCATACGAGGGAAAAAACATCGATTTCTTATTGTGCATATGCATATTGTGCATTGTAATTCATAATTTAATGCATATAATATTATCTTCTAACGCGACATTGATAAATTAATGCATTTTTTCTTTCATATGCACTTATGCGTGAAGAAGTGCCATATAAATTTTGCAATAATAATATTATTTGTATAAGTAAAGGCACTGTTCTGCTTATTATTAAAAGTGCCTTTTACTTATACAAACAACACAACATACTACTGCTTTAATGGATTTAACAATATAACTACAAAATTATCAATCTGTCATTCTCGTCTAGAAGATCATACAACGCTGGATTACAAACACGTGATTATCTAGGGATATTTGGTTTGATTTATTTGGCCACTATCATTATTTGGTTTTTAACAAAATTATTAAAAATAACACAATTGTATTATTTGTTATTTATTATAAGTTTATTATTTTATGGTTTTCTTCTTCTTTTTGTTTTCCCGCTTTTCTCTTGAGAATTTCGCTCATTCAACATACTGCCCGTTTTATGTTAATTCATTTTTGATTCCCTTTTTTTTAAATTTGTTTTTTTGTAGTTGATTTCATTCGTTTCACAAAACATAATAATTCGTTTTCACAACTTATTTTAAGACTTTAAATACCTAACCTGCATATAGAAATGTCACCGCCACTGTCAAAGCAAAACACGTTACCATAGAAACCAACTATCAACAACTCGCAATGTTGTCCCGTTTAAATTTAATATGAATATGGTGCCTTTTGTATTAAAATAAAAAATAATTATAAAGTCAGTTAAAAAATTGGCTTTTTTTAATCAAATGTAAATCAATGATATAGTAAATTTTGTTTTGCAAGTTGGTAGCAATGTACTGACGGAACCTCCTTAATGTAATCTTAAATGGCTGCAAACCTATTAAAACAATTGGGGAGCTTTTTACAAAAACAGCCATAGTCCAAATTGTTATTTACGTACACTTATATTTTAAATTAATATTTTGAGGCAGTGATCCTTACTTTAGAAAATTATTGTGTAGGGCATTGAAAATAGATATTTTTATAACAAATCCTTAGGTTTAAACAACACAAGTCTATCTTTATAAGTTTTTAAGATATGATTGTTTTAAATAAAAAATAATTAAAAAGACATTTTTGGACTATGGCTGTGTTTGCAAGAAGCGTCAATTAAAATTTAAAAAATATATACAGATTGTATAATTGCAAGTAGATGGCGCTGGTTACGAGCGAACCTCAATAAGAAAAGTTTAGTTAGGTCTACTGTTACTTTCTTTGTGACGAACTTATCAACGTAATTTATTGGATATTAATTTAGAATTTTCGACAAATAAAACTACTTCTATTTTTCATATATTTTAAGTTATAAATGTATTGTTAATTTTTCATACGGTTACCGTATAAGACAAATTTTTTCATTTTGCGTTAATTCACTAAGCTTGCAATCGCAAAAGCCATAAAACGCTGTTATGAAATTACAGTTTATGTTTTATTTTAGTTTATTATAATTGTTTTGTAACCATATTCAACCAACTTTTTTTGTTATTATTATTTTAGCGATGAATGACGGATTGACAAAAAGAGGTTTTTGATGTTTTTGGTACATTTCGCCAAACATCAAAAACCTCTCACATAATGATGAACAGTACATTTTTTATCGATAAGAACCTATTATTGTTAAAAATATATTTTTTATTCATATCAATAATTTTTGTTCTAAAAAATATTTTTAAACTTTTTTTTATATATAACAATAATTTTTAACCTTTACTATTCGTAAAAATCTGGACAAAAAAAACCATTTTTTGATAATTATACGAATGAAAACCCAATTTTGTCAAGTCAAATATTTTATCGGAACCACTGTGCGACGTGGACAATCCGGTAATTTTGAACGGGGTTTTTAGTAATATTAATTTAGTTTTTGTGGACACTCTTTTAATTAATTAATTTAAACATTTTATGATGCCCTGGTAAGCCAAACCCCCGTATATACAATAGGACAAAAGATCATTTTCATTGTTAAAAACAATTAAAATTATCTTTTTTCCTTTACTACTTAATATTGCAGATAGGGGGTTCAGCTTAGAACGGCAGTATTATGGAATGTCCCATATACATTTTTGAAATGTGGGTCATATTATTGACTCCAACATTATTTTTTAAGTTGAAGCTTTGCAATGAATGAGGGAATGTTTCTGACAAGCCTGATTCTGAAACATGGAGTGTATAAACCACATTTCGTAACACATTAACCATTATTGTGTGTTATATGTGTCATAATATAATATGTAGAAACATTGCAATGTAGTGTTAATACAATTATAACGTAATAAATTTAAATATTTTTTATTGTTAAAGATTAAAAAAATTAATATAGAGGTTTTTAGAAATCCCCTTTCTAATCTAAAAAAAATTGAAAATAATAGTATTAATACTTATTTATCCGTTAGATAATATCAAATAGGACATAATATTGAATTTATCAGATAAAAAAATACCAAATAATATATCTCCAGTTAAAACTCAAATAAAACAAAGCGAATAGAAATATTATTTTTAATTATCATTACTTGTTACTAAAAACCCGGATTAACCTAAGATTATAAGGCTACATAATAATTAAATACTATATTTAACTTATCTCGTAATATATTAATAATTATTTACCTACTTAAGTAAAACTCTGGGGCGACAAAAACGCATTTTTCTCAATAAAACTTGGGAATATAGGTTAGAGGCTTTTTCGATTTTTTATCTTAAAAATATAAACAAAACTGTTAACGATTTCTTTTATTTTTTTTTATTTTAGGTGTGTTATGTCAATGAAAAAATTGGCAATCCTATCGTCACAGAATGAAGGAAAACTAAACGGGACAGATATGCACCCCACACCTGGGTCACCTCCCGCTCCGGTGCAAGGGGTCAACGTGATGTTGGGAGGGTAAGTATTTTTTCATAATGTTATTGAAAAAAATAAAAATCCATTTTCTTATTATTGGGAAAAAAGTTAATATTTTTAAAACTACCTACTGGGTGATTCCATTTATTAGCCACCAATGAGTGCACCTCATATACTCTAATTTTATTTCTTTTTTAACTGTAAATAGACATGGACCCAAGAAGTGAAAAAAACTCCCCTTTTCTTTTCTCCCCCTATCACCTATTTATACAGGGCTACGCAAAAGTTACTATGCAGACCTAACTTAAAAAAATTTTACTTTTTTTGCTAATAAAGCTATTGACATTAAACAAACTGTTAATTGTTAAGAAAATATTTCTCTTTTAAACCATATAGGACACATTTAGTTATTGATGCCCTAAATGGTCTTTGGGAATTTTTTAAAAAATGCAATTTTTTGGCAAAATTGTCTAATTTTATAAATTCATATAGGTATTCTTAGAACAACTTGCCAGCAAAATTTTTTTAATGTAGTTTGTTACCATAGATCTTACTCTATATAAAAGCAATGAAAACATTTTCAAATAATATTGGCTAAGAGTTCAAAAAAATATAATAAAAATCTATGTTTTCGAAAAATCACTATTTTCAGCCATTTCATGGTTTAAAAAGGCTATGTTTGAGTGAGTCGATTTAAACCAATTTATGCTTATCATCACATGCACTTATTGGCCTCCAATAACCATTAATAAAATTATTGTGTATTTTGCTTTTAACTGGGCTGTGGCTGTATGTACAGCCCAGCTATAAGCAAAATACACAATATGGCCACCTGACTTTCAGCCATTTCATGGTTTAAAAAGGCTATGTTTGAGTGAGTCGATTTAAACCAATTTATGCTTATCGTCACAGGCACTTATTGGTCTCCAATAATCATGAATAACATTATTATGTATTTTTCTTTTAGCTGAGCTGTGGATGTATATGTCCACCTGTGACTATATCCATATTATTAACCATATATTTCGAAAAAGCGTATTACATCTTTAAAATAACTTGACAGCCTTGAATTGACTTCTAATTCATTCTAAATAAAAATATAAAATATAAAAACCACATACAGTGGCGTTGAAAATTAACTACCCATTTATTTATTTTTTAAATTAAGAAAACATAATCAAATGTACAAAAAATTAATTAAATGACTAAAAGACATACTTTTCATAAACTTTATATTTAAACAAAATTAAAACAGGTATTAAATCCTAAATTTGAATTAAACCTAACTGCATATAATTAAACTAAAGAAATCATATTCTTAACTTTTACAATTACCTAAAAAACCTATTTACTATTTTTTACCTCTAAAAAGTTATATGAATCGGAAAATTTTCTTATGTGTATAATGTCTATCAAGAGGAATAAGTTAACGACTTATGGCCTTTAAATGGATCGCAGCAGACTTCACCAAAAATGTTGATAAAATTATATAGATACTTTAATAATTATTTGTGATACCTACGTACAAATATCGGTTACAGTTGCATCCACTCGCCATTCCATTCTTTTTAATAAAAATAAAGTTCTACTTTACTGCTGATTTCTTATACTTTACTGCCGATTGTTGACTACTTTCGGCAGATTTCGGATAAAAATATTTTTTGCGATTTTCCAAGATTGAATCTTGTACTAAGGAGGAAAACAAATAATAGAATGGCGAGTGGATGCAACTGTAACCGATATTTTTTATTAGATCAATTTTCTTAAGTTTATAATAAAGTTCCTACATATAATACATACTATGCTCCACACCCAGAAAAGCCTACTTTGACATTTGACTAAGAAACGCGGATTTATGATTAAGGTTATGTATCTATGTTTAACGCTAATTTTGTGAAAATAAATGAAATGTTAAAGTAAACATATATATTTATTTATAATGTATCTTGTTGACTTATTCTCATAATAAGACCGCATTCCGCATTTGAATTTTAAAGTACCTACTTATTTGAAAAAGTTAAAAAAGTTGTAATTTCTAAACTTACTTACTAACTTATATAACTTTACGCGTGAATTATGAAGCATTACAAAGCATTTTATTTATAAAATTATAGAATTATCATTTTACACAAATTGTATCTGGTTTGCAGATTAAAGCGTAACTGAAACTCATTGAAACTTGTTTTACAACAAAAAAGTGTTAACAAATATTGTTGCCCATTTTTAACATTAAGCATATTTTTAAGTATAATACTTACATAAATGTACAATTAGTTAAAATCGATTTTTTTAAATGTACCATACTAATATTAATAGTCCATTTGCATTACACCCAAGACATTATACGTTCGAAAATAATGAACAAAGTAAGCTATTACACTAGTTGAATAATAAAAATAATTACAATTTTTTTAATAAAACATCTTAAATTAATTAAGTGCACCTGATCTCTTCTCTCTTAAAATGAATTAGTCAAACATAACTAATTACGAGTCATAATTGTCATAGCGAAAAAGCAGTCTCTAATAATAAGTCAAATTCTACTAAATAGTCAAATTAGGTTATTTAAATTTAAAAAAGTTTTGACCCAGCCGGGGTTTTAACTCGGGCCTTGTCAAGCGGATGTCAAACCAAGCCTCTACTGTCACTATTATAAAAAATAGTTTTATTTGTCTACAAACATTGTTAATAATATTTTAAAGCTAAAAATCTTTTTTGAGTTGCTGTTTTAAGCTAAACTTTTTGCATCTTTATTTAACTATGGACTATTTGAATTAGTACCAGCATTTTTTACTAGTAAAATAGTCGTTTCCACTTGTAAATAGTTATTTTTTACTGGGTAAACAGTTAAACTTTGACTACTTTAAGATTAGTCCTATCTTTGACTATTTCTGAGAGTTAAAAGTAACTAATTTCTTTAAACTTTTTCGGCCAACAACAAAGTATTATTTGAATTAAATGCATATAGGCTCCATGGTTAAATGTCCTATAAAAACAAACAAAGATACAAAACAGCAACACAAATAATATATTCAACTTCAAAATATTATGAACAATATTTATTGACAAATAAAATTGACAAGTAACAAACCTGAGTTCAATCCCCGACTGGGTCAAAACTTTTTTAAATTTAAATCTACTAATTTGATTAATTATTAGTGATTATGATAACTTTACGCGTGAATTAAAAAAAGGTAGCATTTTATTTATAAAATTATAGAAAAATTACCATTTTACTCCACCACATGTATGTATACACTACATGCATGGCCGGTTTTATCTATTTTGTATATTAATATTTATATTTTTAAATTAAATTTGGAAAAAAAGTAAGAATGCAAAGACATAAATTAAACGAAAACGGTATAAACACTAATTTAGCAATAAAATAAATAAAGAATATACAAGGTTGGTAGCCGGAGTAAGCAAAAAAACTAACATACCCACCCCCATTCAGGAATACCAAATGAATGGGGTTATTACTAAAGCCCTGGTTTAGGAGGATTCCGGATTGTACTTAGTTTTGGGTCAGTTCAATGTCCTCCAAAAACCCTTCCTAAACTGGACGTATGGCCCGACCCGGCTGACAAAAATCCCGGGAGCGGCCTTAACCTTTGACACTGTCATCCACGAACTCCTAGGGTGGATCTACCAGCCGGCGTAAAAACTTCGGATCCAACAAACACAGGTAATGCTGTGATTTGGCGGGATACGCAGGAGAACGGAAAGGGGGTAATATAACCCCGGGAGATCAGTGGATGACAATATATCTGGGGCCTGCCATACGTTCCCTTACTCATACTCATATACTCATATATGCTCGAAAACAATGAACAAAGTAAGCTATTGTTACACCAGTTGAATAATAATATTTATAATAATAATAATATTTATTCAGCAAAAATAATTAAAATTTTTTTTACTAAAATATCTTAAATTAATTAAGTGCACCTGATCTCTTCTCTTTTAAGGGGTTACATACATATAACCTCGTAAAAATTAACGGTTTTTGGTGATTTATTTTTGGAATATAATATTAATTATATTGAAACGAACTATAAAGCATCGAATAGTATATGTTTCGAAGTATTTGTAAAAAAATATGCGAAAATATGAAATTTTTTTTAAAATAAAGCCCTTGTACCGAAACGTTTTTTTTTAAGAGTTTGCGGTGAGCATAAAATATCGAAAACCGCCAAACAGATGAAATCTGTTCCAATTAGAACATGGTATCACCCTCTTCGTGAACGAAGAGTTTTGCAAAAAAAATGTTCACCGCAAATGGCGGTGATTTTCCCAAAATAATCGATTTTCGAGGGTGCAAAAATTGAGTTTTCCGGCCGAAAAAAAATAGAAATTTTCGTCCGAATGAAAATACCGTTCCCGGCTATTGTAATTAGGAACAACACTTCCAAATTTCAGATCGATCGGTCAATTGGTTTTCGAGAAATCATGCTCACGGAAAAGGCAGTTTTCAAAAAATACGATTCCGAGATAAACGCGTTTGAAGTTTTAAGTTCATTCAATTTGCCTCTAAATGTTTGTGAGGTAGCGCGTTATAAATTGCTATAACATAAGTTAAAAGTATATATTGTAAGAATATTCAATACAAAAAATCGATTTTTGACCCAGCACAAATGTATGGAACCCCTTAAAATTAATTAGTCAAAAATAACTAATTACGAGTCATATTTGATTAATTGTCATATCGAAAAATCAGTCACTAATAATTAGTAAAATTCTACTGAATTAAATAGTCAAATTAGGGGGTTTAACTCGGGTCTTGTCAAGCGGATGTCAAACCAGTGCTCTACTATCACTTTTATAAAAAATAGTTTTATTTGTCTATAAACATTGTTAATAATATTTTAAAGCTAAAAATCTTTTTTGAGTTTCTGTTTTAAGCTCTAAAAATGAAATAGTCAAAATTCTACTATTTGAATTAGTAAAAGCATTTTTTACTAATAAAATAGTCGTTTTCACTTTTAAATAGTTATTTTTTACTATGTAAATAGTTAAAGTTTGACTAATTTAAGATTAGT